GTCCAGAAAAATAATAATTACGATTATATTGAAGTGTCAAGTAATACATGTTTCATCAGAGTATTTAGGGACAGACGATCAATAATGAGCTTCAACACACGAACAATAAAATTCACAATACCTGTCCTTAATTATCATGAGAAGAGATCGATATTTTGTCCTAGTTTGAACGAGTTTTTGATGAAATAGTTTTCCGATGTTACCGTTAGGTACCATCCGGCCGTAAAGGGTTAATGAGTTTTAGAAAATTCAATATACGAATTTTCTTGAATAGAAATACTTCATGAACTATTTTCTCAAATCATTAAAGTTTTCTTGACTTAATCATTGTTACATATTTTCTTCACTAAATGATTGTTTCAATTTTTGCAAAGAACTGGTAGTATCGGTTTGAATCGTGAATCTCTTACAGATGTACGTTTCTGATCATATTCGCTTACTGTTACTATTATTAATGCGCAGTAACCGTAATTTGCCGGCGAAGTCTTTGGATATTTACCAACAAAATTCAGAGCTGTATAACGTAAAGTTAGGCATATTTATGAAAAGTCTGGTAAAATTAATCAGACTATTTGTAGCAAATTTTTATAGACTGGATCATTGCGTTCGGCACTATTAAATTTAAGATATTAATAGTAAGAAATTCTCTCAATTTTGAAAGTAGATAAAAATATGGTACAGGATGGAAAGATTTTTCGTATGGAAATTTTTCCGATAGATTTTTGTAGAACTGAAATAGTCGTTGTGTTTTCTGAGTTGTCAGTTTCCGATCATTTTTCATATGAGTCGCTTCTCTCTTAACTTGACTTGATGCTTGACACAAGCTCATTGGCAATGGAAGAATTACTCATTAATTTAATTACATATGCTGGTACATCAAGTAATAAAAATTAATTTGCGATGAATTGTCTGACGACGAATTGACCTAGTGCCGTTTTATGAACCGTTTTTGAGTAGGTATTATAGACTCATAAACCTTTAAAGGGTTCATTATCCGTTGCAATCTCAAAAACCCATGAGGCGTTTTTGACATTCAAGTAATACCTCAAAATTTGATACATCATTGTAACGGAATTTACTTCTGATAGATGAATATAAATCAAGAGTCGTTAAATAGATCAGAGCATTCGAACAACACCGAGACGTGATGATTTATTGTTTATTAATGATGAAAATAATGACAAGGTTCACAAAGGAATATAGCTTGAGATTGACCAGGTTCAGACTCCTATTCCGTTTTCGGAGTCAACTATAATGACTAAATCTAACTTCTATATCAAGATACGTGTAGCACACTGTGTATACGTGCATAGTTGTAAACGACTAACGTAGAAGTCTAGACACAGCTAACTCCTTCGATATCACATCCGAGAGACCTTCTATCCGAGAACAAGAGAGAGAGAGCAAGAGACAGATGAGAGAAAGAGAATTATCGAGAAAATGTATAGAGAGAAAATATCTTGAAAGAGAAGGATAAAGAGAAAGGAAAGAAAAAGTCATAGAAAGCGAAACGATAATAGCTCAAGGGATATTGAGATATATATACGGGGTATTGTACAAAAGAATGTTTACCACTTTTGTAGGCACAATCATCCTTTGAAAAGGGTATTTGAAGTGTTACTTATTAGAGATCAATACCTAACAGTTCTGTAAATGTCGTTCTACACGGAGAGAAAAAACATTTTTTGACGCTGCTTCCTAGTTTTGGCACCTTCTTATAAAATCCATAAAATAGAAAGAAACGCCAAAGAACTGCTACGTCTCGTAACTCGGGGTGTTACTTTATCTTTACATTAAAAATATAAAGAAAAAGAAATGAAGAAAATCTTTATTCTTTATAAAATAAGGATAAGGATTTTCGCAACTTTATTCTTTATTTTAAAGAAAAATAATGATAAAGCAACACACCTACTCGTAACGACATTTCTACATTCAGCACAGTTTCGATAACCGTTCAAAATTGATCTATATTCTGTACTATTCACTTACTCCCGATTCGACCAAAGCATACGGTTTCGTATATCTCCTCAAACACTGCTGTGTTTATCTTCAATAATCCTAAATGAAATGAAATGAAATGAAATAAATAAGTAACCAATTCAAAAAATCTTATCTTCAATGTTTGCATGAAGATTAATCTAAATCAAACGAAATGAATTAAACAAATAAGTGACGGATATACAGGAGTTGCTATTATTTAATTGCCAATGAGATTTGTCTAAATAGAAAGAAACAGAAAATTTATGGAGAAAATTAAAAGTCTAACAGCGATGTGTTGTCATGCGTAAAGTGAGCGAAAATCACACGCTCACGTGAGCGTGAGCGCGAGTGGTACTAAGCTCACGCTCATGAGCGCTCTTATGAGCGTGAGCGAGAGAAAAACAACTATTAAAATATCGAACGAAGTCTACATTAGTAGTCTAAGGTCCAAAATCACGCTTGTAAGAACATAAATAGATGTGCTCAATTGATAAAGTACAGAATGGGATCATTTTCAAAATATCTTAAAAAGAAAACGCTGACGCTCATATGAGCGCTCATGAGCGTGAGCGTAGCGCTCACGCTCACATGAGGGCTCAAGAGCGTGAGCGGTACATCCCTAATTTAGAACTGGTAAAAATTTACGTGTAAAGTGTGTCAATATGACGAATAGAACGATCGGTCGATAAGATCAGTGTCCGATGACTAGACAACATTCAGGTCAAGATCATTTGACTGATAGTAGCAGTTCATCGTCACATATATCTCTTCTCCTTTCTACTCTATGCGTCTTCTCTAGTATATAAGCGTGTGTTTTTTGTAACTTGGATAGAACTGGAGTAGTGATGTAGTGTGAAGAACACATACACCGAAGACAGTGGTAACGCTGCCCTTCCAACTTTTCGTTGTTGATCAACAATGAATATATACTGCACTAGTAACGAAAGGCTTTCATCTATGTTTCGTTATGAATTTATTTTTCGAAGAAGTCAGTTTAAAATTATGTCTATGGTTATTTTTAGTTAGATGTTGAAGGTGAGGTATTCCTTGTATAGATAATATTTAAACATGTGATATGTTTCGGCTTCATATCTTCATTTAAGACTTTTATTTATATGAATTTAGAAGGAAAGCTTCAGAAGAGTTTTCGGGTTGGAGTTAAAAGTGCATCGACGAATAAGAGTATATTTATTACCTTTATCCAAGAATTTAAGGGAGATACATGTAGTTTTAGAAGAGAAACCTAACTTTGGACAGAAGTCCTGCAATATAGCTCTCTTTTAGGTATTTCGTATGAAATAATAAAACCAAGAAAAAAAAGAATCTAGAGAGTTTGAAGAGAACATATCTCTCAATTAATCTTCAAAGGAAGAAACGTGATGATCGTTTTGGTTGCTGTGTTTCTAGTGATAGCTTCTTCTTATATACGAAATTACATTTGTTATCAGTCAGATTCTATCGTCAACAACATAGTGCAGAACAGAATCTTTTTGGACATTTGGAATCGATTTGAGATCCACCAAGGTTCTTTAATTCATACAGAACCTTTTCATGGTTTATTAATAACAGAATGAAATGTTAAAAGGTTTCATGTCTCTGCTGAAACTCTTAATAGTTTGGAATAACCCAGATTTGAGAGAGTACGCCATTCTACGTTTTAATGTATTTCGAAAAACCTATTTTGGACGATAGCGTATATGATAATACTCACCGTTCGACTTCGCAAAACCCTTCACCTGGAACTGTGCATGATACTACTCATAATCGTACTTCACAAAACCCTTTTGACTGCTAGGTACATGATAAAACCCTTCGCCAGACATCACGGAACCTCTTACATGTGACTATGCATGATACTGCCCATAGTCGTACTTCACAGAACGCTTTTGTCCTCTAACGTACATTAGGGAACCTTTAACCGTAGTTGATTGAACGATGATATGGAATCTTTTTCAACCAAAGCCTTTCCGATCTCTAAAAATCAGCGATCCCAGAAACCCATAATCCTATCAACGGTTTTTTGGTTTATGACAGTCAGAAACCCTTAGTGGATATGAGTAGTATGAAAGAAAAGGATTTTGGTTCCTACTGTTATTTTTTACAGTGTAGCATCTTTTCACCACCATCAGACATAATCTGGTGCTTGGAACCTGTACTTTCTCCCTAGGCTTATCGGGATAGTAACATGAGTTTTAGATTTTTTTCGAACGTGAAAAGAGTAAATTGACACATCTTCTTTGCTTGAATATTTGAAAGATATAATTAAAGAAGTTCTAGATTACTTCAAGGCGACTAGTATATTCAAGAAAAAATGGTAGAACCTGAAGCAAAATCTCCTGCAATACCAAGCGTGTTGGTTAAATTTTGTAATTTGGACTCCAACAGATACCTGTTTGTTTCTGATTCGCAAAGGTCTGGCACATCCGAAAAATATGTTGTGGCAAAAGAAGGAATGAACGAGGAACGCAACATCTTTGAGTTGCAAGGGGTTGTTGAAAGACCTAGTTTTTATATTTATAATCCAACAGCAAAGAAATATATTTGTCTATCCTCTAATACATATCAAAATGCCGATCGAGAAGTTCGAACATGCCAAGACCGAAAAGATGCGACGCTCTTTGATATTTTGATCGATGCTGAGAACAAGTATTATATTTACAACATCGAATATGATCAAATGTTGTATGTTTCGCGAGAGCGTGTAGGAGATGATAGTATTGTTTGGTCTCACAAGCAAGAATATAGAGCCGAACTCAGAAGCAAATTTACAGTGGAACCCGTCCCGCATCCGGAAAAACTTAATTTTGTTAAATTAAGAAAGTTAAGCGGTGAGGATATTCGCTACAATTCTATGTCATCGTCATACTATAAGCGAAATACACAGGATGATAAACCGGTTGAAGACAATATCTTGTGGGCTCTTAATCAAAATTGTGCTGATCTGAAAGGTACAGCATGGGATTATACTTCCAATAACACACTCCCACAGGACTGGATCATGCAAACACCAACTCAAGACGGAATTCTTTTGAACTCGATTGAAAATATGCTGAAGGATGCAACTTCATTTGTTGATGTGTTAACGCTGAATAATATCGATGGCGAATTTCTGAAAAAACTCCAAGATGCAATCAACAGTTATGAAAAACAACAAAAGAAAATCACAATTAGAATATTTTTAGGAGTTTCTGCGGATACAATTCCTGGACAAGGTGTATCGTGGCTTAAGAATGTATGTTTCAATTATTATATAAGTGATGCAAATTTAGGAGAAAAAGTCAAAGAAATGGCTGCTGCGCTTTCTAATGAGACGTGCTTGAAGTATGTGACAATAATTGTTGGTGCCGGTGGAAACCCGCTCTATTTTGGTGCCGAAAGAAGTTTTTTATCCTTTGCGCTTTGGTGGAACCATGCAAAAATTCTCACAGTTGATGGAAGAGATGCTTTAGTAGGAGGAATTAACTTCTGGGGTACAGTTTATTTGGATTTGTTTGATCCTGTCCATGATCTCAGTATGCGAGTGAAAGGTCCAGCTGCCGCAAGTGCTCAGAACTTTATTGATCAATTTTGGAGAAGCATGATAAGCATAGGTTCTTTTGTACGACCTCCATCAGGTTTCAAAATAGGGGAAGCGGTAGGGCGGTTTGTGGAGCTATTAAAAAACATGACTGAAGCGAAACCGTATTTTGCTATTAGTGCAAATTATCAAGAAATGAATCTGCCGAAAGATGCTCTTAAAAAACCTCCGAACTATGATCCTGTAGGATTCGTCAAGACTGGAAATATAAAGATATTTGGAGTTGGACGGCGTGGAGGACAGTATTGGGGTACTGAACCTGGCGAAATTGCTCTAGTGGAACTTATCCATTCGGCGAAAAAAGACATCTACTTTTCTCAACAAGGTTTATATTATCCAACTGATACAGCGTTAAATCGATGGGATGCGTTGACGGATGCAATCGTGTGTGCATTAGTGCGAGGTGTTTCGATCAAAATTCTCGTTAGTCGTGTTACAGATTCGGAGGGGTATCACAGTGTCGACAGCAGCACTATCAAGGATACTATTCTTGATCTTGTTCTTGATACCATGGGAAATCATAGACATGGTATGATGTCGGATTCTCCTTTTGTCCTAAGTGATGTGCTTAAACTAGCTGTCAGACATACGGTTTCCGAAAAAATCTCGGTTCGTCATCTTAAAAACAAAAAAGATGGTAAATACGCTAGAAATCATGCGAAGGTGATAATTGTTGATAACCAAGCCGCTTATATTGGCTCTCAAAACGCCTATCCTACTGAAAGAGCCGTTGCATTCGAAATCGTGATGGGATATGCGCGTCTTGACGAATATGGTTATGTGATTGTGGATGAAGCAAAGGTAAACGATTTACTTAATCAATATTGGAATCCTCTATGGAATGCTACAACAGATTAGAAGACTAGTTACACCATACTTTGTCTTTTCATTGGCATCATTGAACTAAATATAAAGTTTTATACGCTTATTAAAATAACGATTTAACTTTGATTTAAAAAGAAAAAGAGAAATAAAAAAGATGTCTCTTGAATATAGCTTATTTTCGGCAAACATAAAGGACGGGTGAGTTCAAAGAAACTTGAGCTACCACGATCGGTTTCGATTCAGCTTAACGGATCTCTTCAGGGTGAGTTATAAATAATAATGACCATAATCCGGATTTCTATCTTGTTAAAGGAGAAATTTTTCAAGTGGTACGAATTCTGCATTTATATATGAAAATGGGTGTGAGGGTGAGGGTGTGTTTGACATATAGAATACCGCGACGCGTTTCGGCTTAACACATTCGACTCGATTCAGTTTTCTTCGAAAAATTTTTCGAAAAGTTCATTTTCATGCAAGTTAACTTTCATAAATGCACTTAATACTCTTTTCGTTATCTTCTACCGATTATTCATCCTTCTCTCCTATATACAGGGTGTACCATAATTATAAGCCCCCTATACTAAAAAAGGATTTCTTGATTTTCTAGAGCAGATCAACGCCTGATTTCAGGGATCTTGCTCAGAAATAAAGTAAATTCCATATATTCCTGCCACTCTGTGCTATTATTTGTCAAAACTTTCTCTGAAATTCTGGTCGTTATGAGAGTTTCACCAACGTCTTGATACTCACTCTGTAGTCCAAGGTATGAGATACGTTTTTTGTAATTTTATGCATTCATAAGTATTCCCACAGACATGCTTCCTCCAGATAGCATCGTTCTACTTGAAATCATATCGACCAAAGTGTATTTTGATAGAGTTTGATAAGATAGATAGGACGGGAGCCCACTATCATGTGAGGTCCTATTCAGAAAGTCGCTGAATCCCATAATTATTCGACATGAACGATCCGATCTAATGGTACAGTTAGACAGAGTGCATTAAATTGTACTAAAAAAAACAACAGATACAATATAGAAAACCATTTCTCACAATATAAGATCTTGACATCTAAGTATGTCCGATCATTCAATTCACAGGATATTGGCTATCGTCCTTGGGTTCTATTATAACAATTGAAGAAGAAAATAAATCGAAGTCTTTCGACTTTACTGAGATTGGTCATCGACTAAATCTTTCAAAAACTTAGAGAGAGTCTTGTGGAAACAGCCTATCAAGAGGATATAACTAGATTACTTATTACTTGTATATGTACCTATGTGTAGAGATCGGCCAAACTTAAGTGTCAA